TTAAAACTACAGCACTGACATGAGACTAAAGTCTATGCAGAACATTAAAGACACAAGACAATTCGTTATGGTGAGATTCGCTCCAGAGAAATAATTACCCAGACACTCTATTGGTGAATTCAATAATACCATCTTTTGTTCTTGGCCCTTTGTAGTCAAAAGACAGATCTCCTTTAAACCTTATATAAAAAACAGAACAAGAGTCAAATACATCGTTCTTACTGTATGAACAGTTCTTGAGTAATTATTAATATAATTAACTCACAGTTTTATAGTTGGATATCCGCGAATATTAAACTCTGTTGCGATACCTAAAAACAGAGATCAGGTGTTTATGTTTGCTATATTTCTAATATTTCAAAATATTTGGATATACCAATGATAAACTCAATACTTAATACTGTAATATGAATTGTTAGCTAGTTTATTTTATTTTAGTTAAAACTTAACCGGACAGGGTATTGCAGCACAATTCCCTAAAATGGTTCAAACACAAACTCAAATCACTCATTCCTTTTCTTTTCGGCTTAGTCTCTTTATTAATCAGGGGTCACCACAGTGAAATGAACCGCCAACTTATCCAGTGCATGTTTTACACAGCTGATGCCCTTCCAGCTGCAACCAAACACTGGGAAACACATGAATCAATATTTGACAAATAAAAATACTCATACATGATAAATGAACAAAATAAAAGCAATAATAAAAAACATCAAACACTATAAAGTATAAATTATCTATACAACAATTTTGAATTAAAGGCTGTCAATCTTTTAGATAATATCATTAGGTTTTAAGTTTGCTTTTGGCGACACAGTGTTGCAGTGAGTAGAGCTCACAGCAAGAAGGTCGTTGGTTCAAGCCCTAACTGGATCAGTTGCCATTTCTGTGTGGCATAAGTGTATTGAATAATAAGCTAAAGTGGCAGTAGTGTATGTGTGTGAATGCAAGACTGTATGGGTGCTGGGTTGCGGCTGAAAAGGCATCCGCTGCGTAACACATATGCTTGATAAGTTGGTGGTTCATTCCGCTGTGGCGACCCCTGATTAATAAAGGGACTAGCCAAAAAGAACATGAATGAGTTAGCTTGTTTGTTTAAACCAAATGGCCATCTTCATTTTAATTTAATTGTCATTGATCTGTTTTATTTTCATTTTTATTTACTTATTGCAATAAATTTTTGGATTTTATTTGAATCTTGTTTAATCACGCTATTCAATTAAAATTAAAAATTATTATTATTTTTTTTTTAGAAATTGACTAAAGGATGTTTATTTATCGTAATACAATTATTTGATTATTTATTTCAGTCTTGTTTATTTATATTTTTAACAAACTAATTTTGTTTTTAAATATGTTTTTATTGTTTTTCCCTCAAAACATTTCCATGAACCCCAATCACTTCCCTTAGGAATTCCAGCTTGGAAGCCCCCTGAGATGTATCATTAGTACATCACAATTAATTATAGTTAATTTGCTCTTTAAAAAGCACTACTAGTCTGATCTAATTAATGACACAGTGTACTCATGGTGGGGGGTAAAACCCAAAACATTACATTCAGCCAGAAAGCTTATGCACGAATTTAATAATAAGAAGATTATTAAGTCGGAAGACAATGGCGGCAAAAGGCACTGCACAACCTAATTCCAAAAACTAAACGGATTCCTAATTGCTGAAATGCAACTTATGCCATATGGCCATCTGGTTAGCAAGATACAGAGTCACTGCAGACTACATATATAGTTGAGCGAACTGAGTCTCGCGAACGCATGAGGTCTGCTTAACTAATCCCATTAAACAGCAGGTAAGCCTATCTTGCCATTTAAGTAGCAGACTAATTGGTTGCTAAGCAATGGACTGGTGTGGCATTACCATTACTGTCATCTCAAACCAAGCTACAGCAGGAGGTATAACTTTCATCTACATGGGGTATGGCACCAATTCAGCTCTTGCTAATCTCGAATATAATTTTAGGCATGCATTTGATGTAATTAAAGCTTTCCAGCGTTTGCTTTTTTAGACATGTGAATTGAACCCACTTGTGTGCGCTGTAGTATCAATCTTGCCAACATTCACAGGAGAGCCCAGACTTTTCAGCTCTGCGCCGACTTCAGTCCATACTGGCTCAAATGTGTGGCAGTACGCGCACCATGGAGCATAAAACTGCAATTATAAGACATCATTATTTCACAGATGGCATAACACCAAAATCCATAAACATAAGACACAACATTACTGTGTATGCACTCTTACCTCCACCAGCCAGAGTTCATTCTGCCGGAATTCTGTAAACCTGTAAAATTAAATGATTTGAGGCAATCAATCAAACATTAATAATATCTATCTATCTATCTATCTATCTATCTATCTATCTATCTATCTATCTATCTATCTATCTATCTATCTATCTATCTATCTATCTATCTATCCATTTCACATTGGTTAAACTTACAAACTCAAGTTCATCAGCTGCCTTAGAAATGCAAGTGATAAGAGAGATATATAAATATATTGTGAAACTCAACATCTTAAGTTGAAACAAAGAATGTGTCTAAGTTGAGTTGACATTTTTAAGGCAGCTGGTGAACTTGAGTTTGTAAGTTTAACCAATGTGACCTGTCTGAGTAACCTGAGTTATTCTGACTGCTTGTTTGTCTACCTGTCTATATACTGACTTTCCTAAATGTGACTGTTTATCTTCATGTCTGTCTGTCTGTCTAACTAAGGGGTGCCCATTTTTTTTTATTTTTTATGAAGGGCCTAATACCAACATTGATTGAGGCTAGTGGGCTAAGGGAAATATACTGTAGTTAGCATGGTTAATTTCCTACTTTATTTAATATTATTTAAAAGTTACTAGAAAACATTAACTAATACAACATAATTTGTTCACATTTTATAATAAAATTAAGTAAAAAACACTAAAATTAATCTATAAATAATCTCATTTGTAAGAGAATGGAGTTACACAGTTTTTGCTTTGATTTGCCCACCGATGTCTTCTGCATATCTGTTGAGTGACATTGTTTACATTTTTAAAAATCAGATTCTTCATAGCATTTAATTAAAAGATTTCACTTCAGTTTACTTTTTTGTAACTCTCTTCTCAGATCAGATGGTGGGCAAATCAAATGATACAATAGGCCAACTTTGGCCCACGGGCCCTACTTTGGGTATCTCTGGACTAGCTTTACCTATCTATTAAATATGACAAACCTCAGACCATAACTGCAACCTACAGAAAGTTAACTGCGACAGCTTACAATGCAGCAAGCCTTTTGTGTTTTATGTTAAAAATAATGAACATTTAATCAGAAAAGAAATACATTAAGTGACATTTACTATAATACCTCAGTACCTTGCTAAGGTTACTGTAGTAACGTTATAACAAAAATAACGACACTGCATTGACACATATTTAACTATTAAACTATATTCCTTTTGCTTACATTGTAAAATACTTACTTGTCATCGAGCTCCTCCACGTATCCTGACACCAAAGCAATGGCTGACAAAAGCGCTGTCCAACAGAAAGAAAAGAAATGCAGTGACATAGCCTACTGTAACGTACGTGTAAGAGATTAGTATTGTGAAGTTTCGTGTTGGCAAACCTGTCAGTATTATGTTTCTCATGTTTGCCATCTTGAGAATCTTGTCATTGACCGCGTAATATCCTTTAAATGTTACAAGCAGCAGAGTCAGTGTTGGGCAAGTGACATAATCATCAGAGTGGTAGTAAGCTTTTGACCGACTGACTAGATTAACCCCATTACCCCGAGGGTAAGAACGAACAGAATTAGGCCACAAATTGATTCAAGGCAAGCGGTGATGGTTTCATTGCGCAACTTTAATTAGTTGAAATTAGATTTCAGTCTTGCATTTCCAGCACCAAACAAAAGCAAACACGATTAGTCTAGGACACTTTTATTGCGTGTGCAATGGACCTTGAGTTTGGAGAGAAAGTTGAATGATGATAAGAAAAGGCCTATTAGCAACATTATTTTTTGATTATTTAGGCAAATCCTTAAATAATGTATTTGCCATCAGTCATTAGCAGTTGTCAGGTAGTTTTTCCAACAAAATAACAAACTCAGCCAGTGGTGTCAGATGCTGCCAGTAGCTATATGTTTATTTAATATTTCACTACTGTGAATATTTTCGACAGTTAACATTAATAATAATAATTGTTTGCCACTGTTCCTATGGGTTTAAAGTAATAGATAAACGGTGCAATTGTTAGAAGTTAATTACACATGTACACTCAATACACTTGTATCAAACAGTTAATTTAATTGTTAGACTATTTAATTAAAAGCCAGTAAATTATTATTTTTTTATTATTATTATTAAACAATTGCCAACATATTGGATTTTCTGTGAAATACTTACCCAAAAGATGGCGCTATAATAATCCACTTGGAAGCTGCTTGTTAGTTAGGCAGAGCGGTGTTACAATAGGTAGGTATCGCTACATTGTTATTAGATAAATTATATTGTATGCATGTCATTATTCATTCGTATATTACAGTTTGCACACTGTGGTCTGTCTGTTTGCTTATATTTCCAACGAAGTAAATGCTAATAAAATTTTTTCCTCCCAGCAGCAGCATATTGTTTTTACAAATGCTTTAAATTCGTAATCTGATAATCCATTGGATGCATTTCAAAACCTATATAGGTGACGAGAAGACGGCCTAATAACCTATTTTTATGGTAAAGTACTTTTGTTTATGTGCTTTAGCATGCCAGACAACAAGGCCTATTATTGGAGAGCTCCACTGTGAGGGAGCATTTTGATTCGCGCAACGACAAGTCAATCAACATGAACACCCGCCTACATTGGTATCTGCCTCTCTGTTGATTGGTTCAAAACGATCCCGTTTAAGATGTCTCTCGTATCTCAATGGCCGACGTCGACGTCTGTCTACATCAAATGAAAACGTAAGTTTGGTCCGTGGGGAGAGGCAACTGTTATGGAAGTGCTTGTCTCATGAATTTACTTCACTGTGTTTTCACTCACCACAAGTGGAATATCGTCTTTGGGGGTTCTCTGCTCGCAGATTTAGTCAGGGATATAGTAACGGAGCGAAGAGTCTGACAGGATATAGAAAAGAAAGAGCTTGCGCGTTGTTTATCTTCTCTTGACCGCTTCATGTTTGTGGACAGCGCGACAAAACATACGCAGTTGTCCACTTGTGCACGTTAAAATTGCGTTCCTGTCGCAAAGTTTGATTGTCTCGGTGAATTAAGTTTTAAGAAGCTCGCACGGTTGTTTTAATTTGTCTTGGAGTTTATATATTGGCTAGCCGACGCTCGGTCAAAACAAGCAGCGGTATCTGCATGTAAATAAAAGGATTGTAGTGTATGCTACTGCACTATGCAATGGGACTAAGTGAGGCCTCTCGACCGCAAGAATATCTTTGCTTCACTTTCAAGCCTGATGACCAGGTAAGACTTTGAACTTTGTGTCGGATCAACAGGGTTTGGGTTTCAAGTGCGTTAAACTTGAGCACCATGCAGGCGCGTGTGTCAATAAACAATTAAAACGCGCGTTGGTGTTCACTTATGAGTAACAGTTTAATGACAGCAGTGCACTTTGCACCTGATCGCTATTCCCAGCGGTATTTTGGCGTTTATTGTTTTGCAGTAACCGAGTTCACTTTCGGTCAGCATCAAATATGCGATCTCGGATTGCAACACTTGCACTTCCGAGTTGTTTTCGCGTCCGCTTTGTGCTGGCTTCCCTAGTAACTACGCTAGAGTGTTAAACATGACCATTATCATGACCGGTTTATCCTGCAGTCATAATTAGTGTGTAAAGCAGTTAGCAAATTCAGCTGGATTGCTTGGAAACGTCACCATGGTTCCCTTGTTGTTAATTATTAAGGCTGGCTCTGTTATTATCCAGTACAACTTTTAATTGTTTATATTAACTCTGTGAACTGCATTGAGTGTTTAACTCTCTGAAGTGTCTTAAGTTTGTTCATTAATAGGCCTATTTGCGTCTAAGCACTTCTTAGCAACATCTTGAGCTGATTTCAAAGTGTTAATCAGATTCATTAAAAACACCGCCTTACTGTTTTCCATTGTGAAGTATGTCTGATGAATGCAAAATATGTGTGGCATGGGCTGAAAAATGTCTTTGAGACGGTCAAGTCCTTCTCATTCCTTATTTCTAATCTTTGGCATGTCAAATATGCATCATACTGTAGCATGTAAAAGAGGTTGGTCTGTCTTATCGCATGGTTTTTAAATACCTGTGAACCGTAGAATGTGAAGGCATTCATTACAATCTCTCTTGGAATTTGATGTATTGTACTGTATGTCTTTTTTGCTGCCAGAGTTGTGGAAGATCAAAATAATCGTCTTGTGCAGTGTTTACTACCATCAGCATTCTGTCATGTCTGTTGTTTTGGTGGAAGTCCTTTGTGGTAGACTAGAGTATTATTATTGACTTTGTGTGGGATGCTTATTTACTGACTCGGAGTGTTATTTTGGACCTCCGTGAAGTTGGCACCCCATAAAAACAAATAATCCCCAAAACTATGCCATTCGTTTGTGCTACGTTTGTGCTGATTTGTGCCGCAAAAACGAACGTTTGTGCTGGTTTGGGGTCTGAGATATTAAGCATTATTTTTTTTAACGTGTGACGTCACTCTCCACCCCATGTTGCGCAATTGACTTCAAAACAGCACAGGTCGTTTGTGCTCGGTTTGTGCTGGTTTGTGCCGTTAAAACGAACACGGTATCTGTTTTCCTCTTTTAGATATAAGCAAAATATTTCGGGAGCCGTGACGTCACTCTCCACCCCATTTCCTCCAAATCGCACAAAACTGGTATCATTCGTTTGTGCTGGGTTTGTGCTGGTTTGTGCCGTTAAAATAAACACTTTATCTATTTTCGTTGTTTAGATATAATCAAAATATTTCGGGAGCCGTGACGTCATTCTCCACCCCATGTTGTCAAAATCACACCAAATGGTCTTATTCGTTTGTGCTCGGTTTGTGCTGGTTTGTGCCGTTAAAATTAACACTTTATCTATTTTTATTGTTTAGATATTGCCTTATCAAAACATTTCGGGAGCCGTGACGTCACTCAGCGCCCCATATTTCCTCTAAATTGCACAAAACAGGTGTCATATGTTAGTGCTGGATTTGTGCTTGTTTGTGCCATAACAATTAACACTTTATCTATGTTTATTGATTAGATATTGCTAATCAAAACATTTCGGGAGCCGCGACGTCACTCAGCGCCCCATTATTTCCTCTAAAATGCACAAAACAGGTGACATTCTTTAGTGCTGGATTTGTGCTGGTTTATGCCATTAAAATAAACACTTTATCTGTTTGTATTGTTTAGATATTGCCTAATCAAAACACTTTGGGAACCGCGACGTAACTCTCATATTGCACAAAACAGCTGTCATTCAATTGTGCTGGTTTTGCCATTTATAAACACTTTATCTGTTTTCCTTGTTTGGATTTAACCAAAATATTTGGTTAGATTTGTGCTGGTTTGTGCCATGAAAAGGAACAACAGATATATATATATATATATTTGTGCACAAATATGTTACTTTCGTTTGCTCACAAATTGTGGAAAATATTGTAAAAATATTTAAAAAATTGTTAAAAAAAATAATATCAGATCATTAAGAGGTCTCTCCACCCCAGTTGCTACATATTTACTAAAATAATCTCGTTATGTTCGTTTCATTTGTGCTGGATTGTACCTGAAAGTTTCGTTAGTGTTGCTTCTTTTATTAAAATATTGAATGAAAGATAATTATATCAGCTACCCGCATATTTTAAAATATTTAAATTTGTTTGGGCTGATAGAAATTTTGTTTAAGGTGCTTTATTTTTTTTAAATAGCCTAGGCCAAGGTTATTCTGAGATCTTTTTATTATTAGAAAAAGCATGAAGGATGCGAACATCATTTTGACAGATTTAATCCAAGTAAAAGGGCTTGGCCAATATAAAGATAATTGGCTACAACCCTGCTTTACTTATCTACTTCGTTTTAGTCTCATATGAGTAGCCAGCATGCTTAACAATAGAGGGAAAAAAAAAAAAAAAAAAAAAATATATATATATATATATATATATATATATATATATATATATATATATATATATATATATATATATATATATATATATATATATATATAATTTGTATTAATTTTATTTATTAATTTTATAAAAATGTATTAATATACATTTTTTTACCTGTTTAACCATGCTGCGATTTTCTCTTAAATACTCTTATCATCTGGTCGTCCATATTAGGCTGCTTTCGTATTTAAACTAGCAGCCTAAACTTTTCTGTTGTGGTAGGTAGGCCTATAAGTAAAGCAGCTTTAGTGGACTTATTTAGTCAATATTTATTTTATGGGGAAAAATAGATTATAACACACGCAAACACATAGGCTATGCATTTTTTACAGATAAGTTTTGGTTTTCGTGATTGTGTTGTTTGTCATACAGTAAAAGAACAATGTCCAAATGGCAATAAAATAACAATAAATAATTGATTAATTAATTACAATTAATAATAATAATAACAATAACAACAATCATATAAAATATTTACATTCACTTAATTGGTAAACACTGTGCGTTTTTATCACGGGCTGTAGAATGTTATTTTGACCATTTTGATTTGGTTTAATAAAAGATAAACATGTAATATTTTGTTATATTTTAGTTATCCTTAGTTATCTTCTTATTATTGTCATTATTATAATTATTATTATATTTATTTTATATTTAATAAGTTGTAGACTCTTTAAACAATGAGGAAATAACTAAACTTTTTTAATTCAAGGCCCAGACAGCTTGTTTTGTAATTTAATGCCGGCTATAGGCTACCACCTGAAGGACGGTTATACGACGTGTTGTGATGTCGGCCGTCACCGGAGAAAATTAATTTAAACTTTAAAATTTTAGTTTTTTGGACTTTTGTTTGAAAGCGTTTAGTGGCACTGTAGCTGTCCAAGGTACTGTTGTATAATTTAAATTATAGCCTATATGCACCAATAAACAAGTCGAATGAATGAATGAATGAATGAATGAATGAATGAATGAATAACATAAATATAGATTCTTAAATGTTGATGTTGTTTTTGCTATTAAAAAATAACAAATATTAAACAAAAATTTAATAAAAATAAAATGAGCACTTTTCAATATTTATACAATTCAGTTAAATATAAGCTGGACATTTTTGGGGACATGTAATTTCTCTATGATCTTTAATTTATACTGGGTAGCTATATTTTCTAAAATCTCAACCAGGAATTGCTTTAATATGAATATGCTTTACATCCTGATATGCTGTTGTTTCATTTTCATTCTTATTTCACTTGAAAAAATCGGTACTTAGTGTTTGAATACTAAAATAAATAACAGCCATTGTTTAAATGGTTATTTTACCAACAAAATGTATATTTTATATTTTTATCAACTTTTGATATAAAACCTCTGTGTAATTTATTGATTGTTAAAAATGAAATAATTTAAGTGCTATATTTTTTATTAGTGAAAGTGCACGCTTACTTTGCCCAAGGCCTCTCAAAAAATATATTTCTGCCACTATAATACAAATGCACTTATTGTTTTATTATCATTGTTTATCTTTCCTTAATGTTTGAAATTTTTGATAAATTTATTTCCCCTCCAATCATTTTCATTCATCACGTTAAATTTAGGTAATTTTCCCTCCAAATAAAATTGATTTGCTGTCTTACCTGGTTTAGCACGGAATGTGAGCCTAACAGCTCAGCATAAAAAAAGGGTCCGAACGATTGGAAAAGCGGCTTTTAAAGAGACAAACTATATACGAAATTTGTTTCAAAAAGACATTTTTTTCCAAGAAAAATATACGAATTATATTTTAGTTTGAGGCCAACTGTGCGGGTGGATGATTTTCAGTCAGTGGAAAGTATAGGCCTATGAATTTAATGTGTCTCATATTGTATCACAATCTTCTGTCATATATTTGCAATTTTTTTAATGTCATAACACAAATGAGACTATTTTAGTAAATATGTAGCAACTGGGGTGGAGAGACCTCTTAATGATCTGATATTATTTTTTTTACAAATAATGTTTTTGCAGCACAAACGAGCACAATTTGTGAGCAAACGAAAGTAACATATTTGTGCACAAATATATATATATATATATATATATATATATATATATATATATATATATATATATATATATATATATATATATATATATATATATATATATATATATATATATATATATATATATATATATATATCTGTTGTTCCTTTTCATGGCACAAACCAGCACAAATCTAACCAAATATTTTGGTTAAATCCAAACAAGGAAAACAGATAAAGTGTTTATAATGGCAAAACCAGCACAATTGAATGACAGCTGTTTTGTGCAATATGAGAGTTACGTCGCGGC